TGTCTCACCAGTTGGTGAGTTTGCAGAGTAGCCAGTCCACCTGGACCGTTTTGGACTTCAGTAGACGATGACGTCATGCATTCAAATCATAAATCAGCCTTTACAAAATGGCAGGAATCGGGCCACGCGCACACACTGTGGCGTCACCTGCAGACACTGGACCAGCAGCAGACAGGTGATGCCCAGCAGGGGGCGCTGCAGTCAGTCCACAGGATTGTACTGGCTCTAATTTAACATTACCTTTGAGAAAAAGTTCTGGAGACTCTGTGTGTCCTCCGGACTGGGAACAGAAGGTGGATCGGTGTCGCCTCCAGACGAGGGGTCACCATTAGCCTAGCTTAGCACAAATAGTGGCAGCAGAGGGAAACTTTGAGCCTCTGCACCTTTAATGTCTCCAAAGTTCTTTGCTTTATTTGCTGTTATTTATATGAAGTTGCTTTAAAACCAAAAACCTGTTTCCACGTGTTGGGGCTCCGGCGGGGAAATGATCTGGCGCCGTGTTTCTTGCACATCGGAACTGATTAGAGCAGTATTACTGAAGTGTATATTGAAGCTTTTTATTAATATTATATTAATATAATTGTTGCTTTTGGACAGACGGATGTTTTTCATCCTGACGCTGATTTTGTACTAAACCAACATGACCTTTAGTATTACCACGGAGTGTTATTTTTTATATGTTGTTGACAGGAGGCCTGTCGGCGCTCTCCACCTCCACCTCTGTCCTCCACGTTGTCGTCTTGTTAAAGGGGAAAACCACTGAATTAAAGTAAAAATGAAACCTCAGCGTGTCGCTCTCGTTCATGGCGGTTTGGAGCTTTTAAAAATCAGCAGCAGTGTAACCTGAAAAGCAGTTTGTGCGACCAGACGAGTGGCTTTCTGTAGAAACTAAACTGAGACGACATCAGCAAAACACGTGAAACCACAGTTTCTGACTTCCTGATTCCAATGAAGTTGTGTGTTGTAGTGAAATAAACCCACTGTGGAGGCCTCAGGCTAAACAAGCTGACAGGATTTATAGTTTTTCTCTGATAAATGTCTTTCATGAATCCAGGAGTTTCCACCAGATGAACTGAATCAATCTGTAAAGAATGAATGTTTCTTGATAAGAAGTTAAAAAGGAGTAAAAGCCTCCGTCCATCGACCTTAAATCAGAGTGAGTGACGATCTGTCGGCCTCTAAACGGAAAGTGTGACTTTAGTTGTTTCCAGCTGCAGGCCGGTCGTGTCCGGATGTGTCTGAACGTTTCGTCAGACCTGCAGTGGAAATGGGATTATTTATAATAATCTGATCCCAGGTCCGTTTCTGAAGCTTCCCGTCATCTCACAGATTCTGTTTTTGACCTTTAAGCCCGTCTCCGGATCAGCTGGTGAGCAGAACATGTTTCTGGTACGAAACGCCAGAATCGGGCTGAAGCAGCTTCAGTGATTCTACACTGCAGAGGAAAAAGAGCTTTTACTTTGAAGGGCTTTTCTCTGAAACTGTCCACCTTCAGGGTGTTCCACCAAACAGAGACTTCAGAACTGTTCTAAAGCATTTCCACCAAACGAACATGTTCAGGTCCAAAATGTTCTTGTTGGAAACCGGACAAAACAAAAAACAAAACAGGAATCGGGTCCATAAAGAGGATTGAAGTCCAACACCTGCATGAAGGAACCGAACAAAGCCAACAACGCTAAAGCTGTCTGGCACAGCTCAGTCCAGGTTCACAGAATCAGGCTAACTGTTGGGCTAACTGTTAGCCTGACTAGTAGTTAGCTTGACAGTTAGTTTGCCCGACAGTTAGTTAGCCTGACGACTGTTAGCCTGACTGTTAGTTACCCTAACAGTTAGTTAGCCCGACAGCTAGTTAGCCTTACTCTTAGTTAGCCTGAGAGTTAGTTAGCCTGACTGTTAGTTAGCTTGACAGTCTATGTAAACTGAAAAAACCTGACAGTAACAAAAAAATATATAGTAGTAGTAGTATTAATAGTGTTAGTAGTATTAATCATAATAACAATCACAACAACAATAATAGTAGTGGTAGTCGTATTCATACAAGTAGTATTAGTTTTATTACTAGTTATAATAATAGTATTAGTAGTATTAATAATGGTAGTAGTGGTAGTCGTATTAATGCAAGTAGTATCAGTGGTATCAGTAATAATAATAACAATAGTAGTATTAGTAGTATTTAAACTGTTCCCTACAGTGACGTGATGTCACAGCGATGCAACAGTCAACAGACTGAACTGAAGCAGAACCAGAACCAGGTGTGATCCAACAACCTTCAGACGTGATGACGAGGTTTAATCTGATCTTCAGACGTTCTACTGGGAAGAATGCCGGAACGTGACAGAGAGTCTTAGTCTGGTTCGGACTTCTTCATTCAGCTTCCTGTTCTGGTTCGTTGTCCGACCGGCTCCTGAAGGTCCGGTTCTGAAGGACACTCAGCAGCTGAGGCTGAGGGCTGAACCTTTACATCAATCCGCTGACATGAACTCTGGGAATGTTCCAGGTGTTTGCTGACTTGGACCTCAGACTTTCAGCACTGTGAGGTTCTGATGACTCTGCGGTTCTGCAGGATCAAACTCACCTCTGAACCCGCTCAGCTTCCTGTTTCCTGTCCTGCTCGCCGTCACGTTTCCGCTCTCAGACAGTTGGAGCGGCTGAAGGCAGAGATACTGAACTGGGACAAGTCGGATCAGCACATCTGAGCTCCGGGTCGCCTCCGCCGGGTTCTGCAGGTCGACAGACCCAAAGGAAAGAATTCTGCTGTGATGAGGAGAAAAACTGCAGCAAGAGGCTCAGAATTCAGTGAAACTAACTGAATCACATGACGATTTGGACCCGGCAGGTTCTGCTGAACCTTCAGGTTCTTCACGGTTCAGCTGGACGGTTCCACTGGCTCTCATCAGGTTCTGAGTTTACCCGAACATCTGCTGAAACTAAGCAGGAAACAGAACCCCTCAAAGTGGATCAGAGACGATCCCGACCGGAAGACAACTAACTACCCGCTGTGGTGGTTAGTTAACTGTCCCCACCTTAACCTCAGCTCACTCACATTAACCAGCTGTTTAACCAGTTAGCAACCAGCTGGTTAACAATGCTAACTGTTGATAAAAATGTGTGCTAACCCAACTCTGAACTCACACAGTTAACCAGCTGTTTGTTAACCTACTTGATTCTGGTTAGCAAACAGCTCAGCTAACCCTGGTAAAGGTTAAACTACATTAACTTTAACCTGCTTCACTGGTTCAGCAGTTACCTTTTGATTCAGGTTAGCTAGCAGTGTGGTTCTGACCATGTGAAACTGCTAACTGCCCAGTTTAGCTGGTTAGTCAGGTGAGCTAACAGTTCAGGTTAGCGCTTTGCTAAAAGGCTGGTCAGGTGAGTTCTTCCTTCAGTTTAGCAGTAAAGTGACTTGGTTAAGTTTAGTTTTGATCCAGTTAACTGCCAGGTTACTAGCTGGTTAAAGCAGTTTGGTTTGGGTTAACTAATGGTCCCATTTAGCTAAACATTTGGTTCAGGTGAGCTAACAGTCAACTTTAGCAGTTAAATGAGTTTAGCTCGGATTAGTTAACGTTTAACTTTAGCATCTAAACTTTGTTCAAGTCGTTTGAGTCTCAGTTTAGCAGCTGAAACCTCCGACTAACAGGTTAAAGTTGGTTTAGTTTAAGTTTAATTAGCAGAACCTGAGTCTGTTAACAATGAACGATTTACACACAAACTGAATCAATCCTAAACCCTCAGCGCCAGGAATCAGGCCACTCGGGGTCAGAACCGGTTGTGTTTCTGTTGGTTCTGGAGGTTGTTGGATCCAGACGCAGACTCGGTTCTGGTCAGTGTGTGGTTCTGGTCCGGCTGTGTTGGCGGGTCGCCTCCCTCCGACCCCTCGTTCATGTTTTTCTGGGTTTTCATGACTCTGCAGGAAGCCGCCGGCTGTTTTTTTCCAGCTGCTGATGGTTTCAGGTTCTGGTGGACTCATGACGATAAGAATGTTTTCAGTGCTGACGCGGCGCCGACAGATAAACCGGATCTCAGCGTCCTTCAGTCTGTTTAAAGTCTCGCTGTCGCTGATCAACGATAAAACTCAGACAAGCTTCTGAGGAAAGTGTCTTTGACCTTCAGTCGGTCCAAACAGACGGACTCTGTATCCATACAGTTACATCTGATGTGACGGAGACGCTGCTGTGGGTTCTGATTCTGTGATGGGTGTGGAAACGTCATGAGCTCATTGTGATCATAAACGTGTAAAATGAAGGACGAATCAGTCATGATGCAGCAAAACAACAGAAAACTATCATCAGAAGGTTCTGCTGGTTTCACGTGATCGTATGAAATGGACCACATGGACTAACCGAGCCGCCACAGTGGAGCCGAACCAGACCAAAGCTGCTTCGGTTCAGATCGCTCAAGGTTTTATGTGTAAAATGTAAAAGCTTTAAACTAGAGAGACAGGAAGGACCTGAAGGACCGTGAGTGGGACTCGAACCCACGACCTGAACACCGGACACCAGCTCAACCAGGTGGACTCCAGCCCACCAATCTGCTCAGACGGGTATTTAACTCTGACGGGGTTCCACTCTGGGTGTTTCTATGACAACATCTGGAGCTCGTGACAGGAAGTGCGAGGGCAGCTCTTTCAGAATAAGAGCTGCAGCTGAGCCAGGCGCTGACTGCTGCTTCCTGCCATTGTTCTGCTGCCATTTTGACCTTTGGCGACCTCTTCGCTCCGTTCGCCGAGTCCAGGAAAGAAACTCGGCTTTCGCACTTGTTCCTTTTCTTTCTGAGAAGTCAGCTGACCAGGAAATCCGTCCAAATCCCAGCGACGGCGGCAGGAAATCCGCCCACAACTTCCTGTCAGGTCGCATTTCTCACCGAGTCTTCAGGCCGACGTCAGCTGCAGCTCAGACGTGGTTCCTGCCGTCATTCTCTGTGATTTACCAGATGAACCGGTCAAACGGACAGAACCACGGATCCATTCTCATAGAAACAAACTCACAGCGTCGGACTGGAATTCAGCTTCAGATAATTAATAAAATAAATGTTCAAATGCATGTCACTGGTTCAGGTTCCTTTAAGAACATGAAAGAGTTTTTGACAAACCTGCTTCACTTTGACATGAACGAGTCTTTTCTGTTCGTTTTAATGTGACCGAGCAGCGCCAGCAGAACCCTTCAGGCTGAGTTCAGATGTTCTCTGGATGAGCCTGAAGTCTGAAGCCCGGAGACGTCAGAACATGGAGCTGCTGCGTTCAGACGTTCTGCTCAGGTCACAGCTGTGAATGTCATGTTTGAATGTCATGTTCTGTGTTTTGTGCTTCGTTAGTTTTGAGGTCGACAAGTTTTAATTTAATGAATTTTCTTGTTTTTTGTTGTTTCCTTTGAGCCGTTCTTTTATCCAGCGACAGCCGTCCTGCTCATGAAGTCGTCCTGATTGTATTTGTTCTTGTTTGAAACACGACTTCGCTGCTTCGTGTGTTTTCTGTCCGCTGGAGGAGGAGGAGGACGTTTCTGGGAGGTTCCTCTCCAACCTTCTCTGTTTCCTTTCCTCCCTCGATCAGAGGAAGCTGTGCAGCGTCGCCTGGCTGGACGTCGTCCTGATAACGGACTGAACTCTGCCACACTTCTCTGCCTCTATAAGCTGCAGCGTTCTGTCAGTTCTGCTCAGAGCCCGCCATGTTCTGGCTGCTGGTTCCTGCAGGTTCTGTTTAAACCAGAGCAGAGAGCTGAGCTGGATTTGTTCTTCTTCTCTGGATGTTTGAGGATCTATGATGCTGCTGCTGCTGCTGCTGCTGCTGTGTCTGCAGGCGTCTGGACAGGAGCAGGTAACTCACCTGAACACCTGAACGCTCACCTGCAGTCGTGGTTTTGAGCCCTTTGAACAGAACCCGTTCTGTCGCTGGTGAATGAATGAACTGTTGGATCCTTTGGACGTTTAAATGATAAAAAACATTCTGACAGAAACGTAAAAAAAAAAAAACTGGACTCACACGTCAGCTGAGGACTTTCAGGAACCAACAGGAGACTCCAACGAACTGTAAAAACACAAAACCGTAGAACAACTAACGTTAAAATAACCGTCTGATGAACGTACGGTCACGGTTTATCGTTAAACGCCTTTTCGAGCCTTAACTTAACCGTTCTTGTGTGTTTTAGTGTTCAGGTGTGAAATTCTCTTTAACTGATGATAAAGTCTGTCACAGATCAGAGATCAATCAAACTCATGGATCCACTCCACGTTTCTGTTCCGTAATTATAAAAGCTTTTGTTTCAAATAAGAATAAAAATAAAAATGTTTTCATCCATTAACAAAAAGAAAAACCTGCGACTTCACCATAAGTTTGTCTTTTAATGTAAAAACGGTTTTAAAGCTGCTTCACACTGAACGGATTCATTCAGGCTGAAGTTTTATTGATGTTTCTTCTAAATGAAACCACACGAGGAACAAGCAGCAAATCAGAAGAAGCTCCTCTGCTGCTTACTGGACGTCTTTACGGTAAAAACTTCTGTAACCAAATCAGATGTTTCTCATTTAACAGGGAGCTGTGGTTCTGTTCTCTGTCATCGCATCGAATTTTAAAAAAAAACATTAAACTAAGAAATGAAATGGAGTTACAAGAACATTTTGATCTTTTAAAGTTAAAAAAAAAAAAAGAGAATAAATCTATAAAATGAGAATTTTTCAGCATCCTGTGAAAAACAATTCACAAATATTTCCTCAATTATCTGAGAATTAAAAATTTAAACGGTTTCTAGCATCCGGTGCAGCTTGGTGAGGTTCACACAGACAGACGCGCTGCTTCTGGGATTGACTTTTATCTTCTGATTTCTGCATCAAATGGAAAATATCTGAAATAGAAAAACACAAATCCACATGATTCCAGGCGGAGCTGAGGCTGACCGACGTCTTATTTATGGAACATGACTGAATTGGAATGACGTGTTTGTGTGAAGTGTTATTTTACACGACTTTTACCATCATGACTGATTTCACTTTAGTTTTTTAAACAGTTGTTCATCCCACAGCGACAATCAGTCTGTTCCTGTAACTGACTGATAATGTTCTAAACTGTGGCATAGAAGTGTAAAAGAAAAAAGAAAACATCTGTAAAATGACACATCCCCTTTCTTTATTTACAGATTTTTTTCTTTATTTACAGATTTTTTCTTTATTTACAGATTTTTTTCTTTATTTGCATTTTTTAAAATTTTACAGATTTTTTACATTTATTTTACAGATTTTTCTTTATTTGCAGATTTTTTAAAATTATTATTATTTTACTGATTTTTTAAAAATTATTTTGCACATTTTTTCTTTATTTACTTTTTTAAATCATTATTTTACTGTTTTTTTCTTTATTAACATTTTTTTTTTTATTTTACAGATTTTTTAAAAATTATTTTACAGATTTTTCTTTATTTACAGATTTTTTAAATTATTATTATTTTACAGGTTTTTTCTTTTTTTTGCGGATGTGTTTTTATGTTGAATACGTATTTCCTCACCGCGACATATTTCACCTGGATGAGGCTGACAGAAGTAGTTTTCTTGGTGTTCCTGTCAGTAAGGTTCTCACCTGTGCGTCTTCAGACTCCTCCTCCTGGACGCTGTGATTTCCTCCAGAGGGAGGAAGGTCATTCTATCTGCACTTCCTGCGCCGCCGTCAGCAGCTGCCCCCAAGGATCCATTAGCGCAGGAACCACAAACTGCAGGTAGCACACCTGTAGCACAACACACCTGTAGCACAACACACCTGTAACACACTTGTAGCACACCTGTAGACTACACACCTGTCACACACTTGCAGCACAACACACCTGTAGCACACCTGTAGCACACCTGTGACACACCTGTAACACACCTGTAACACACCTGTAGCACACCTGTAACACACCTGTAGCACACCTGTAGACTACACACAGGTGTAAAGCTCCTCTTCCTCCTCTGCAGCTACCTGGTCCAGGTGGGCAGCAGGGAGCTCCAGCTGCAAGGATGTCAGCACATCTGTGTGAGGAGCTTCATGTACCCTCAATGCTGCCCTCAACACTGGGGGGCGCTGTGCCTCCGTAAGCCCTCGCACGCCGCCCACTCTGACGTCCAATCAGAACAGAGCTTTAAACCAGTTTGTCACTCACCACTTCCTGTTTCCTTCACAATAAACCGTCCTTCTGTCCTCAGCTTGTCCCAGCTGGTCTGGAAAAACCTGCAACTTCCACGGAGTCTGCGTTGATGGAGACGTCGGCAACGGAAGCTGCATCTGTGACGTGAGTGGACGATGACTCGCTGACAAACAGGAAACTTGTCGATCACAGCGGACTTCATGGTTCAGACTCCTGAGACTGGTTCTGGTTCTGGTTCTGTCATCTCTGAGCCTCAGAACTCCGTCAGAGCAGCGGTTTAATGCATAGATATGTATATTAAGGCTGGACGTCTGGTCCACGCTGTCGGCCAATGGAATCGCACGGCCACACTGGCGGCCATCTTGGCTCGGTCCGCTCACTCACCCATACACACCTAATACACACCTAATACACACCTAATACACACCTATACACACCTAATGCACACCTATACACACCTAATACAGACCTATACACACCTAATGCACACCTACACACACCTAATACACACCTATACACACCTATACACACCTAATGCACACCTACACACACCTATACACACCTATACACACCTAATACACACCTACATTATCATATTTTGGGATAATTGTTTGGATGTATGTACTTTCAGACTAACACATTAAACTAGTTGTGAAACGCTGTCCAACAGAAACATTCAGTGACTGTAAACACACAGGTTCTGACCAGTCCAGACACTCTGACGTCAGCCCGCTGCTCCTTTGTAATGACCTGGACTGGACAGACGTCCATCAGTCACTCCCCATCCTCCTGAATACAGTCGTAGTCCTGTCATATCTAACAGGTGAGAGGTGATCCCAGGCTCTGGTGTCAACACTACGCTGATCAGAGCATCCGTTGGCTGAACAACAGTCTGGCGTCTTCACTCAGCAGCTTCCTGTAGGAGTACTGCTCAGCGCCACCAGCTGGTCCCGAGTTCAGTAAAATAACGGAGCCGGAGTTTGTAAACCCGTCAGAATATCTACGTCTGTGCAGATCACTCTCCTTCCTTCATGGACCACAGGTTCCGCCAGAGAGCTGCAAGATGGCCACCAGTGATCCCGTTACAGACTCCGCCTTCAGACATCGAGCCTTTATCATACATATATAGAGTCATACAGACAATCATTGGTACCCTGGATGTGGTTCTGGTTCTGATCAGTCAACAGAGAAGACTTTACAAAGTGCATTCTGGGTAAATGTTCCAGGCTCATATCAGCATGTGTGATGGTGGTGGGTCAGAACCAGTTCGAGATGATGGAAGGACCGTTTTACCGCCAGAACCTACTAGAACCATATACCTGATGTTATCTGGACTCACTTAGAACCTGTTTCCTCCTCAGGACGGTTTCTCTGGTGTCTCGTGTCAGAACTGTAAGAATCCAAACGCTTACGGAGAAAAGTGTGATAAAGGTAAAGTCTTCTTCTTCTGCCATTTCCTGGAACACCTGAGTCTGAAGGAAGCAGAAACAACACCGAGTGTGTGTGTGTGTGTGTGTGTGTGTCTGTGTCTGTGTCTGTGTCTGTGTCTGTGTCTGTGTGTCTGTCTGCGCGCGCAGTGTGTGACTGTGAACAGGGAGTGTGTAACAAAGGTCCAGATGGTGATGGCCAATGTCTGTGTCAGCCTCCGTACACCGGGAGGCGCTGTGACCGCGGTGAGTCCTTCATATTAGTTACTTGTTGTGTTGACTTGTGTTGACTTGTTGGGTTGACTTGTGTTGACTTGTGTTGACTTGTTGGGTTGACTTGTGTTGACTTGTGTTGACTTGACTTGTTGCATCAACTTGTTTCATTGACTCGTTGTCTTGACTTGTTGCATTGCCTTGTTGCCTTGACTTGTTTTCTTGACTTGTTGCATTGGCTTGTTGCATTGACTTGTTGCATTGACTTGTTGCATTAACTTGTTGCATTGGCTTGTTGCATTGCCTTGTTGTGTTGACTTGTTGCGTTGCCTTGTTGCGTTGCCGACAGTGAGCAGCGGCTGCCAGAGCTGCGGTCCGTACTCATACTGCCGGGGAGACGAAGACAGCGCCACCTGTGAATGTCTGCCGGGTCACAGGAGGACGAACCAGAACCGATGCACAAGTAAACTCTGGTTTGGTTCATTTGATCCTGACTTAAGGAGAAACACTAAATGTTTGTGATGTTTACTGCTGGTTTGCTTCGTGAACAAACAAACGTGGACATTTTCGATTTTCAGCTTGCCTCTGCGTTAGTGTACATTTAGTCAGAGGTGTGTGTTCTAATTTAGTTTTAGTGTTTAATAAATATTTACACTCAGGACCTTAAAGACAAAATGTCAGAATTGAAATTCATTAAAAATTTCTGAAGCTCATCACAAGTCCAACATGAAATCATCACGTCATGTGTTGTCCTGTAGAGCTGCTGCAGTACCTGGTTGTCCCACCAGGTGGAGCCTCTTACTGTCTGATGCTGTGGAGACCAGAGGAGGCGTCACTCATGACAGTAAATAAAAGATCAGGTGGAGGTGGGATGCCAAGGAGTTAAAGAAAGAGACTTTTTTGCGAATGCTAACTGGATCAGAACCTCTCTAGTTGACACGATATTATTACAACGTTTAAACTCTTATTTCTGCGTTAGTTCATTTAAAACCAGAATCAAGTTGAGATAACGCGATAGCTTCACGTTGCGCTGGACAACTAAACTCAACTCCCATCATGCTCCCTGTCCCCTCTGGTTGCTACAGGACTGAATGGTGAGCAGCTCCACCTGGTGGAACAACCGGGTACTGCAGCTACTCATCAGCAGATACGAACTACGACTCTGATCAGGGCGTCCCCGAATATAAGGAAGACGTATTAAACATCAGGTCAGCAGGACTTGTGGGGGCAGTGTGTAGAACTGGGTCAGGACTAGGTGTGTCTGTGTTCCAGGTGTGTGCTCTCAGAGCGACTGCGACCCAAACGCCCAGTGCTCCTCTCAGGGGTCCCGGATCAGCTGCGCCTGTAAACCCGGCTACGTGGGCGACGGCCGGCTCTGCGTTCCCAGAAACCCCTGCAGCAGCGACAACGGCGGCTGTCCGCCCAACTCCACCGTCTGCGTCTTCAAGGGGCCCAACAAGGTGAGCGCACTGAGAGACCCAAACAGAACCAGAACCCGCCCTGATTCTGTGTCTGACCCGGTTCTGTGTGTCTCAGTCCAGCTGCGAGTGCATGGCCGGCATGTCTCCAGTAGGAGGCAGCGCTGAGTTCGGCTGCCAGCTGGTCTCTGCCTGCTCAGCTGATACCTGCCACTCCAGCGCCACCTGCAGGACCGAAATGGACGGACGACCGAGGTCAGAACCGTGATCCACATCTCTCTCTCTGTCTGCAGAACTGGACTCAGAACCAGAAGTACGACTCGCCTCTGGTTCTGCCTCAGTTTTCCTCTGTAGCTCTACATCCAGACCAAAACTAGGACCAGAATACGACGGCTAGAACTCAGACCCGGTTTAAACGTTACTAATGTGTCATTTGGACCCAAAACTAAGTTCTGTAGAATATTTGGCTAAATTCTGAGAAGTTTTTCTACTTTCACCCTCAAAAACCAGTGAAGCCAGTTTCATGGTTCAGGATCTCCAAGAATAAAAGTCCAACATGAAGTGTTCTGAGGACAGAACAGTTCCATCAGAACCACTGGATGGATCCAGCAGGACACGGTTTCATTATTGATCCAGAAAGTTCCTGTCAATGTCTATCTATGGATGGATCCATGGTTCTGTTGAGGCTCTAACATCAGTAGAACCGGGCTGGACCAGACAAAGCTCCAGACTGTTTCAGTAGAACCATGGATCCATATTTATACACTAACGGGGACTTTTGGGTTTGTGCATGTTGCAGTGATTAAAAATGACGTCACGCGTTGGCCCCCCTCTCTCAGGTGCATGTGCGAGGTGGGTCAGATCGGTGATGGACGGCGTTGCTACGGCAACCTGATGGCGCGTCTGTTGGAACTGGACCGAAGCGGCAGCCAGAGGGAGAACCTGACCGGAGCCGTGGCCCTGTTCGGTGAACATGACCCGCCGACGAGCTTCAGGCAGGCGACGGACAAGCAGCTGGTGTTCATTCTGTTTATCTGCCGTTTCAGAAAAAGGATGTTTGCAGCTGCTGAGCCACAACGGACCGTTCACCGCCTTCGTCCCGCTGCTGAAGACGCCGCTGACGGTGGGTTCTGCTGCTCGGTCGGGGATTAGAGCTTCATATCTGATCCTGTGCTGCAGGTGTCTCGGTGGTTAGCACCGTTAGCGCCTCGCAGCTATAAGGTTGCTGGTTGGCGTCCCGGTGAGGACACCCGGGATCTTCCTGCGTGGAGTCTCCATGTTCTCCCCGTGCAGCGTGGGTTCTCTCCGGGTTCTCCGGCTTCCTCTCACAGTCCAGAAACATGTTGAGGTTAATTGGTGATTCTAAAGTGTCTGTAGGTGTGAATTTGAGTGTGCTTGGTTGTCTGTCTCTAAGTGTAGCCCTGTGATAGACTGGTTACCTGTCCAGGTGAACCTGCCTTCACCCTGAGTCAGCTGGGATAGGCTCCGCCCCCCACCACCCTAGTCAGGATTAAGGTGTAGAGATGATGGATGGAAGTTCAAATGATGAAGCAGGTCTGAAGCCTGGCAGCAGAGTGACCCGGTGCTGATGTCTGCAGGGCGTCAACGAGGAGCTGCTGTGTAAAAACCACCTGATCTTGGGTCAGTTCCTCTACAGAGACCTGGAGGGCCGAGACTTCATCATGTACGGAGGAGCCAAGCTGAGGACCAAAGACAACAAGGTGAGCTTCTACCTGCAGAGCAGCCAGAGGACCACGTCACAGGAGAACACCTGCTGACCGCTGACAGGTTCAGAAGGAATCCATCAGAGGCCAGCAGGACCGACCCTGAACTAGCTGGTCAGCTCCCTACCTGACCAGCTAGTTCAGGGTCGGTCAGGAGAAACTGCTGGTCAACGTGTCGCCTGGAGGAGGTCCACTGTTTCATCCTGGTTCTG